AGCAGTTGAAGCCCTAGATAAGCTGTCATAACATTGTGCTGACAAAGCATTCCTTCCGTGTTGATGATTTGTATATTATACTAGCTACGCCTAGGGTTAGTTAGGTCTGTGGGCAGCTGACAAGCCTAGCGTTAGGTAGGCCTGTGGGTAGGTGACAAGTCTAGTGTTAGTTAAGTCTGTGGGTAGGTGACAAGCCTGGCGTTAGTTAGGTCTGTGGGTAGGTGCCAAGTCTAGTGTTAGTTAAGTCTGGGGGTAGGTGACAAGCCTGGCATTGGAGAAGCCTGTGGGTAGGTGACAAGCCTAGACTTAGTTAAGTCTGTGGGTAGGTGACAAGCCTGGTATTGGAGAAGTTTGTGGGTAGGTGACAAGCCTATTGTTAGTCAAGTCTGTTGGTAGCTGACAAGCCTGGTATTGGAGAAGTCTGTGGGTAGCTGACAAGTCTAGCGTTAGTTAAGTCTGTGGGTGGGTGACAAGCCTAGCTTTATTCAAGTCTGTGGGTAGCTGACAAGCCTAGTACTGGTCTAGTCTGTGGGTAGCAGTTGAAGCACTAGATAAGCTGTCATAACATTGTGCTGACAAAGCAATCCTTCCGTGTTGATGATTTGTATATTATACTAGCTACAAAGGTTTACTGGGTGTATATTCCTCATACAATGTATCTATCTACACTGCTTCTGTTGACTCATTGAATGTTCCCCCTCTGAAATGGAGGCATTGTTAGATACTGAGGCTGGATTTTACATGCCTGGAAGTAAGGAAGGTGAGCATGTGGTAGTCTTGTCAGAACTGTGTTCATCCAGCCATTCCTTGTCTAGCTAATGTCTTCTCCAAAAATCAATACTGCGCGGAAATCATCACACTGCATTAGATAACCGTCTGATATAGTGGGGTGTCACTAGGGCTATACATGTAATTGTACAGCAGAAAATTCTCAGTCTCTTTAAATCATACAATAGTTTGTCCTCTAAAATCATATACCAGTATATATTTTCTAATAATGTACATAAAGTATCTAATACATTGCCCACGTTAGTCATGCACAACAAAAAGGTGTAGTGTGTGGCATATCATCCATACCAGTGCTTTATGTATCAGAAAGAACCCAATTAAAAGGTTTTGAATCAGAAACAGTCCCACTAGGGGGCTTGTGCATCAGAAGCTGTCCAAGTTATACTTTAGAAGGTGTCCCACTAGGGGGCTGAGCATCAGAAAGTTTCCCTTTAGGAGGCTTATACATCAGACAGAAGGTGTCCCACTTTACCATCAGAAGGTGTCCCACTAGGGGGCTAAGCATCAGAAGCTGTCCAAGTTATACTTTAGAAGGTGTCCCACTAGGGGGCTGAGCATCAGAAAGTTTCCCTTTAGGAAGCTTATACATCAGACAGAAGGTGTCCCACTTTTACATCAGAAGGTGTCCCATTAGGGGGCTTGAGCATCAAATGAAACCCCGGTATTGGGCCTGTGAATCAGAAAGAACCCCTGTATGGGGCTTGTGCATCAGAATGAACCCCTGAATGGGACTTGTGCATCAGAAGGAACTCCTGTATGGGGCCTGTGCATCAGAAGGAACCCCTGTATGGAGCCTGTGCATAAGAAGGAACCCCTGTAAGGGGCTTGTGCATCAGAAGGAACCCCTGTATGAGGTTGTGCATCAGAAGGATCCCCTGTATGGGGCCTGTGCATCAGAAGGAACCCCTGTGTGGAGCCTGTGCATCAGAAGGAACCCCTGTATGGAGCCTGTGCATAAGAAGGAACCCCTGTAAGGGGCCTGTGCATCAGAAGGAACCCCTGTATGGGGCTTGTGCATCAGAAGGAACCCCTGTATGGGGCTTGTGCATCAGAAGGAACCCCTGTATGAGGTTGTGCATCAGAAGGATCCCCTGTATGGGGCCTGTGCATCAGAACGAACCCCTGTATGGGGTTTGTGCATCAGGAGGAACTCCTGTATGGGGCCTGTGCATCAGAAGGAACCCCTGTATGGGGCCCGAGCATCAGATGAAACCCCTGCATGGGCCTGTGCACCAGAAGGACCCCCTGCATGGGCCTGTGCGTAAGAAGGAACCCCTGTATGGGGCCCGAGCATCAGAAGAACCCCCTGCATGGGCCTGTGCACCAGAAGGACCCCCTGTAGGGGCTTGTCCATCAGAAGGAACCCCTTTATGGGCCTGTGCATCAGAAGGGACCCCTGTATGGGCTTGTGCATGAGAAGGAACCCCTGTATGAGGTTGTGCATCAGAAGGATCCCCTGTATGGGGCCTGTGCATCAGAAGGAACCCCTGTTTGGGGCCCGAGCATCAGATGGAACCCCTGCATGGGCCTGTGCATCAGAAGGAACCCCTGCATGGGCCTGTGCATCAGAAGGAACCCCTGTTTCGGGCCTGTGCATCAGAAGGAACCCCTGTATGGGCCTGTGCTTCAAAAAGGGCTCCTGTATGGGGTCTGTGCATCAGAAGGAACCCCTGTATGGGGCCTGTGCATCAGAAGGAACCCCTGTATGGGGCCTGTGCATCAGAAGGAACCCCTGTATGGGACTGTGGATAAGAAGGAACCCCTGTATGGGCCTGTGCATCAGAAGGAACCCCTGTTTGGGGTCTGTGCATCAGAAGGAACCCCTCTATGGGGCCTGTGCATCAGAAGAAACCCCTGCATCAAAAAAATAACAGGTTCTTTTGAATGAATTTTAATCATAAATACTGATATTTTGCCTGTAGCTTTATTTTAGATCCCTTTTAAGGTTACAAGTGTGAGATTTATACCAAGTGAGCGATGCAGGCTCATTGGGCCTCCTGTTCTCTTACTTCTTTTTTACAAGTCTGCCATTTAAACATATTTCATACTCTTGCATCTTACAAAAAAAATATCTGTAAATGTCATCAGCTGTTGAAAGGGTGTCTAACTTTAATATATATATATATGTAAACAAAGTAACAAACAAACACACAATCTCTGAATTCCATCCCCTGGTATTGCAAGAAATATGTCTGAGAATAAACATCTTCTCTGTTGATTAAATATTCATTCCTTCCAAACTGGAACGAATATTTTCGTCTTTTCTGTCATATTTCTGTCATAATGATTAGACTATACATATACAAAATGTACCCATGAATTCTGGTGTATAGACTGTATGCTCATTTGATCCCTTTGAATGTTCCACCACATATTTTGGATTGATATTTTTGTCATTGATAGTCCATTACCTAATCCTTCTATAATAAAAATGGTTTTGGTGTACAATAGTTATAGCATAATTTTATTGTGTCGCCTGCGAAAAGCTGGTGACACATAGGTATTGCTTTGTCGGCGTCTGAACAGAGGTTTTCGTGCGATAACTTGAGTTTCCTTGGGCCGATCAAACTCAAACTTCATGCAGTGCTTCTTTACCAAAAGTGCTTGCTTGGGATTGCTTTTCAGGTCCGAAGGTCAAAGGTCAAGGTCACTGTTACTATAAATAGAAACTTCACTAAAACTGCATACTGGACGGCTTCGATCTACCACTTGACCCCCCGTGTATACCTCTGAAATGCCGTCTTACTCCAAATGTTATTGACAACACTAGCTGTTTAGCATCATAATCCACAAGTTTATTCATTTATTTATGGGAAACCATCCGACAAATCATACAAATTAAACTTGGAATTGAGACAAACAGTATCCATAGCAAGTTCCTTAAAACTCCGAGTATTCTTCCCAGAATAACAGATTATATAACAAAATGATGCCATCCAAAAACATAATCTATGATTATTGCTTACTTTTAACATTATTTCTTGAAATGAAAAGTGTATCTATTTCTTTGTAATCTCCCAGCTTCCTGCGCAGGCGACACATCCACTTCCATGGAATTCTTGTTCGTAAGAGCAACGCTTTTTTTGTCTGGAAAATAGCGTTGTTTGAGATGGTTTCTGACTGTCGATTTGTCTATAAGTATCTGATAACTCACCATAGCAACGCATTTTACATATACACTGGAGCATATCTGATAACTCACCATAGCAAGGCATTTTACATATGCACTGGAGCATATCTGATAACTCACCATAGCAAGGCATTTTACATATACACTGGAGCATATCTGATAACTCACCATAGCAGGGCATTTTACATATACACTGGAGCATATGATCCCTAGCTTTGGTTGTCTATAAGTATCTGATAACTCGCCATAGCAAGGCATTTTACATATCCACTGGAGCATATGATCCCTAGCTTTGGTTGTCTATAAGTATCTGATAACTCACCGTAGCAAGGCATTTTACATATACACTGGAGCATATCTGATAACTCACCATAGCAAGGCATTTTACATATACACTGGAGCATATGATCCCTGGCTTTGGTTGTCTATAAGTATCTGATAACTCGCCATAGCCACGCATTTTACATATACACTGGAGCATATGATCCCTAGCTTTGTTTGTCTATAAGTATCTGATAACTCGCCATAGCAAGGCATTTTACATATACACTGGAGCATATCTAATAACTCACCATAGCAAGGCATTTTACATATACACTGGAGCATATCTAATAACTCACCATAGCAAGGCATTTTACATATACACAGCATATGATCCCTAGCTTTGGTTGCATCATAAATGATCCTACAATGCATTGTTAGTTTGACAACATTCATCTTTTTGGAAAAAACTCCAAACTTTTTGAGAATTTCAGTTTTATGCTTCTACGAAAAACGAATCAAGTACTCATTTGAACTTTAGTGGGTGTTTTTGTTGCGATAATGTTTAGGTCTACACCTCTCCAAAAGAAAATTGAAATCAAAGGAGGGTCTTTTTGGAAACCCCCTTTGACCTTGACCCACTAGAAAGATTAGGTATATGTGAGATGTGTTGGCAGCTAGATAGATAATCAGTGATTACAACAAGCTGTTTAATTTGTTGATAACTGCTCATAAATATTTCCCAGAGTGAGTGTCAAGTGATTATATTAGTAGAGGAATAATTCTAGTGAAATTTGGGATTTTGTTTTGTTTTCTATAGAGAGCTGAATTGCAATCAAGAGGCATGGACCAAAAACATTACATGGAATTTTGTGAGGCCAGACAAATCAACTTCAGTAAGTGTTTGGTAACAGCTGGGTTTTCTTTAAATTATTGACAACTTGAGGAAAATATATTTCTACCACGACTGTGACACTGTTTAACAACTCTAGCTAGTAACTGTGTAGTTATATTTCTACCACGACTGTGACACTGTTTAACAACTCTAGCTAGTAACTGTGTAGTTATATTTCTACCACGACTGTGACACTGTTTAACAACTCTAGCTAGTAACTGTGTAGTTATATTTCTACCACGACTGTGACACTGTTTAACAACTCTAGCTAGTAACTGTGTAGTTATATTTCTACCACGACTGTGACACTGTTTAACAACTCTAGCTAGTAACTGTGTAGTTATATTTCTACCACGACTGTGACACTGTTTAACAACTCTAGCTAGTAACTGTGTAGTTATATTTCTACCACGACTGTGACACTGTTTAACAACTCTAGCTAGTAACTGTGTAGTTATATTTCTACCACGACTGTGACACTGTTTAACAACTCTAGCTAGTAACTGTGTAGTTATATTTCTACCACGACTGTGACACTGTTTAACAACTCTAGCTAGTAACTGTGTAGTTATATTTCTACCACGACTGTGACACTGTTTAACAACTCTAGCTAGTAACTGTGTAGTTATATTTCTACCACGACTGTGACACTGTTTAACAACTCTAGCTAGTAACTGTGTAGTTATATTTCTACCACGACTGTGACACTGTTTAACAACTCTAGCTAGTAACTGTGTAGTTATATTTCTACCACGACTGTGACACTGTTTAACAACTCTAGCTAGTAACTGTGTAGTTATATTTCTACCACGACTGTGACACTGTTTAACAACTCTAGCTAGTAACTGTGTAGTTATATTTCTACCACGACTGTGACACTGTTTAACAACTCTAGCTAGTAACTGTGTAGTTATATTTCTACCACGACTGTGACACTGTTTAACAACTCTAGCTAGTAACTGTGTAGTTATATTTCTACCACGACTGTGACACTGTTTAACAACTCTAGCTAGTAACTGTGTAGTTATATTTCTACCACGACTGTGACACTGTTTAACAACTCTAGCTAGTAACTGTGTAGTTATATTTCTACCACGACTGTGACACTGTTTAACAACTCTAGCTAGTAACTGTGTAGTTATATTTCTACCACGACTGTGACACTGTTTAACAACTCTAGCTAGTAACTGTGTAGTTATATTTCTACCACGACTGTGACACTGTTTAACAACTCTAGCTAGTAACTGTGTAGTTATATTTCTACCACGACTGTGACACTGTTTAACAACTCTAGCTAGTAACTGTGTAGTTATATTTCTACCACGACTGTGACACTGTTTAACAACTCTAGCTAGTAACTGTGTAGTTATATTTCTACCACGACTGTGACACTGTTTAACAACTCTAGCTAGTAACTGTGTAGTTATATTTCTACCACGACTGTGACACTGTTTAACAACTCTAGCTAGTAACTGTGTAGTTATATTTCTACCACGACTGTGACACTGTTTAACAACTCTAGCTAGTAACTGTGTAGTTATATTTCTACCACGACTGTGACACTGTTTAACAACTCTAGCTAGTAACTGTGTAGTTATATTTCTACCACGACTGTGACACTGTTTAACAACTCTAGCTAGTAACTGTGTAGTTATATTTCTACCACGACTGTGACACTGTTTAACAACTCTAGCTAGTAACTGTGTAGTTATATTTCTACCACGACTGTGACACTGTTTAACAACTCTAGCTAGTAACTGTGTAGTTATATTTCTACCACGACTGTGACACTGTTTAACAACTCTAGCTAGTAACTGTGTAGTTATATTTCTACCACGACTGTGACACTGTTTAACAACTCTAGCTAGTAACTGTGTAGTTATATTTCTACCACGACTGTGACACTGTTTAACAACTCTAGCTAGTAACTGTGTAGTTATATTTCTACCACGACTGTGACACTGTTTAACAACTCTAGCTAGTAACTGTATAGTTATATTTCTGCCACAACTGTGACACTGTTTAACAACTCAAGCTAGTAACTGTATAGTTATATTTCTACCACGACTTTGACACTGTTTAACAACTCAAGCTAGTAACTGTATAGTTATATTTCTACCACAACTGTGACACTGTTTATCAAAGGTTTATAGTTTCATAAAATAAAATTAGGATATAGAGCTATTAACATAAATTTGTAATTTAATTTGCAAAAAATTGCTATGCTTTCTGGAATGGTACTTTAATAAAAGAAAACAATGTTGATCACTAAACAAAATAATGACATTGTGGTAGCACCGGCTGTATGTTCCCCAGTGAGTTGAGAAAGATATCGGCTGGTTGCAAAGGCCAAATAACCACGAATAATTTGTGAAATGCTTTGAAATGACCTAGGTTGTGATAAAGTGCTATATATAAGAACCTCATTTTTTTTAAATATTATTAATAATAATGAAACTTTAAATACAAAATTTACAGCATGTTGAATGACTTGGTTGTCACATTAAAAAATAGAGAACAATTGGCAAAAGTGTTGGGTAAAATGTATGTATAACAAGATATGGGAAATTAAAATAGTTCCTGCCTAGCTATGACACTTACAATAGCATAGTTGTACAGAAATAATCAATATTTCAGAAGTTTTATTATTTGTGCTAACAGGTAGGAAGTACAAGTCCCAAAGATTTAAAGACTGGCTGATGGCAGGTGTCAACATCGACATCAAACCCAACCTGCCCGCCCTCGAGATCCTCTCCTACTTCTCCTACGAAACAGTGGCACAGGTACTGGTTTATAAGTCAAACATATTATAGTAGATGTAAAAAAAGATACCAATGTCAAGGTCAAGGTTGTATGTAATAGCTGTGACACAGGTACCAATGCCAAGGTTGTATGTGATAGCTGTAACACAGGTACCAATGTCAAGGTCAAGGTTGTATGTAATAGCTGTAACACAGATAACAAGGTCAATGTTGTATGTAATAGCTGTGACACAGGTACCAATGTCAAGGTCAAGGTTGAATGTAATAGCTGTGACACAGGTACCAATGACAAGGTCAAGGTTGTATGTAATAGCTGTGACGCAGGTACCAATGTCAAGGTTGTATGTAATAGCTGTAACACAGGTACCAATGTCAAGGTCAAGGTTGTATGTAATAGCTGTGACACAGGTACCAATGTCAAGTTCGTATGTAATAGCTGTGACACAGGTACCAATGCCAAGGTCAAGGTTGTATGTAATAGCTGTGACACAGGTACCAATGTCAAGGTTGTATGTAATAGCTGTAACACAGGTACCAATGTCAAGGTCAAGATTGTATGTAATAGCAGTGACACAGGTACCAATGCCAAGGTCTAGGTTGTATGTTATAGATTTCAAAGCTGTGTCTTACAGGTAAATACACACCTATAGCAACCTTGTGACAATCTGAATTTTTAGGTCACCTGAGACAAAGTCTCAAGTGACCTATTGCGATCGCCTTTTGTCCGGCGTCCGTCGTGCGTCCGTAAACAATTTAAATTTTCGACTTTTCCTCCAAAACCCCTGAACCAATTTCAATGAAATATTGCAGAAACCATCCATGGCCAAAGGTCAACTAAAATTGTGAATCATATGGTCCCCAGCCCCCAGGGGCCCGAGGGGTGGGGCCAAAAAGGGTAAAATTGACTAAAATTTCAAAAATCTTCTTCTCAAGATCCAGATATGGTAGAATCAAATACTCTTCATAGATAGAAGGGTCTTAAGGTGCTTTACTAAAATTGTGAATTTCTTGACCCTGGGGTCTCACGTTTCCCCCTGGGGAGGGGGTAAACTTTACTATAGTTTATATAGGGAAATCACATTTT